GAAACTGGGAGGAAGTATTCACACATCATACATCTAACAAAGAACTTTGTAATATATAAAGAACGTTAAGGAGTTCATAATTATTAGAAGAATGTACAAATCTTAACATATACCTCACCAAAGATGGCAAACAAGCTGGTGACAAGGAAATGCAAATTAGTACCACAATGAGATACCATTGCCCACCTACTAGAATGGCTACAATTTGGCATTTTGACTGTTGGGGTGATTTCACGATGCTATGCATTTTTCAAAATACAGAAGTCTACACAAAAAGGAATGAATTTTTCTGTAAATAAATTATACATCAATTAAAAAATAGGGGTGGGCTTTTGTCATAGCAGTGAATCCTCAGGCAGGGTCTGCGTTCCACATGGGAGTGCTTAGGTTTCCGTGCACGTTCTGATGCCGATTCCAGCTTGCTGCTAATCAGTGCACACTCTAGGAGGCCTCTTGACCATGGCTTGAGTGACTGGGTCCCTGTCCTCAGTGTGGGGGACTCAGGGTGAGTTCCCAGCTCCAAGCTTTGGCCTGGCCCCGCCTTGGCTACTGTGGGCATCTGGGGTGTGAACAAAGGGATGGGAGAGCTCTGTCTCTCCTTGTGTCTCTACCTTTCAAATAGATAAGAGTTTGGTGGGTGTCCCAATATTGATACTATTTTCCACACTTTTCTGCATCTCCAATGTATTTTCTAATAAAAAGTTAAAATTTTTAAATTAATCTGAATTTTTAAAAAAGATTTACTTATTTATTTCAAACGCAGAGTTAGAGAGGGAGGGAGGCAGAGAGGGGGGCAGAGAGAGATCTTCCACCCACCAATTCACTCACTCCCCAAATGGTTGCAATGACCAGGGCTGGACCAGGCTGAAGCCAAGAGCTTCATCTGGGTCTCCCACATGGTGGAAGAGGCCCAAGCACTTGTGTCATCTTCTGTTGCTTTCCCAGGCACATTAGCAGGGAGCTAGATCTTAAGTGGAGCAGACGAGATTTGAACAGGTGCCCATATGGGGTCCTGACATCACAGGTGGTAGCTTACCTTGCTATACCACAATGCTGGCCCCAGCATCAATTTTTTTTTTAAAACATCTTGTCCTCTGACGTGGCATAACTTATGTAGCATTTTTACTAAAAGTGTCTAACCTAAATATATTAATATAGTTATAATTATTGAGGAATACTTTGCAAAGTGACTGCCCTTATTCTTCAGAAATTTCAGTATCATCAAAGATAGACCAATGTACTGCCTGAATGAACTCTACAAGGCCATGACAATTAAATGCATGTGTAGTTCTGGGTTCTTTATCAGAAAAAACAAGCTACAGTAGACCTTATCAGGACAAAGGGAGTACAGACTGTGTATCAGGTAACAGTGTTGCACCAACATTAAATTTCTCAAGTGTGATGATTACATTATAGTTCTATAAGAGGAAGGCTTTGTTCCTAGAAAAATCACTTAAGTGCTCTGAGTTCTAGACTCATTCTCAAATGGCTCAACCAAAAAAGAAAAAGTAATTTTTACATACACATATTTCTGAAGTGCAAACGCAGCAAAGCGTTACCAACCAGTTAGTGTGGGCGTAGTACACACAGGCATTCATGATGCTGTTTTTGTGTTTGGAAATTTTCCAAAGAGTAATTTAGGAAAGACGTTTACAAAGCATTCTTAGGGGTGGGCGTTTGGGGCAGCAGTCAGGTCACGGCTTGGGACACTCAGAGTGCCTGGTTCACATCAAGGCCACACAACCACCAATCCAGCTTCCTGCCAACGTGCCTACTGGTCAGGCAGCAGATGATGGCTCGAGCACTGTGGCGCTATCACCCATGTGGGAGACCAGGACTGAGCTCTAGGCTCCCAGCTTTGGCCTGGCCCAGCCCTGGCTGCTGTGGGCATTCTGGAGTAAACCAGCAGATGGAAGAACTCTGCTGACCTGTTTTCCCAATGAAAATACATAAATTTTTTAATGTTAAATGTTGAGGCTGCTAGAATGTTTCAAAAAAAAAAATCTGCTTCTAAAACCTGTAAAATGCAAGCCGGGCCCAGTTTTTGCAGACAGCAACACACACAGTTCTAGTTGCCAGTTCCTCCAGGAGCTTCCCAGGGAAGGCCGAGGACTACTGCTTTCTGCCACTCTCCAAGGCCACGTGCCCAGCCATCAGGGTGCTACGGCCTCCCAGATTTCAAACACAGAAGTGTGTGGCCCGGGCTGCTTTCCTCATATATGCTGTGTGTACTTATGTATTTGAAAAGCAGAGTGACAGAGAGAGATGGACAGCAAGAGCAAGGTGGGGGATGGGAGAGAGCTCTTCCATCTGCTGGTTCACTCCCCAAATGCCCACAACAGCCAAGTCTGGGAGGAGGGAAGGAACTCCACTCTGACCTCCTACACAGGGGCAGGGGTCAAAGTACTTGGGCCATCATACGCTGCCTTCCCATGTGAGCACACGGGAAGCTGGACCAGAAGCTGAGTGGTCAGATCTGAACAGGCACCCTGATGTGCGATGCAGACATCACACGCGGCACCTAACCAGCTGGGGCGTGCGAGCCCTCCTCACGTTCCTGGCAGCCAACAGCTCTTCTCTGCCCTCCTTAGCCAGGAGAGGTCTCGCCCCGCCAGATGTGGCAGAGTCTCCTGCAGGCCGGACTCTTCAGGAACAGCACAGCTGCCCTGCTACAGGGCTCCTGGTGATGCGGCTCTCCAGGTACAGCTCTCGCCTCTGTCTGCGTCACTCAGGGAGGCCGCTGTCTTCTGGGTCGCTGCTTCTCTTCTCTGCCGGGTTCCTGTCTCATGACCACCAAGAACCAGTTCGAGTCCCGCCTGTTCCACTTCTGATCCAGCTCCCTGGGAATGTGCCTCGGGGTCCCAGTGCTTGGACCCCTGCCACCCACATGATAGGCCCGGATGGAGTTCCTGGTTCCTGGCTTCAGACTCTGCCAGATCTGGCTGTTGCGGCCATTTGAGGAATGGACCAGTGGATGGAAGATCTCCCTCTCTGTTGGTCTCTGTCATTCTGTTATTCAAATAAGTAAATCTTTTTATTTTTATTTATTTATTTATTTATTTATTTTATTTTTTTGACAGGCAGAGTGGACAGTGAGAGAGAGAGACAGAGAGAAAGGTCTTCCTTTGCCGTTGGTTCACCCTCCAATGGCTGCCGCGGCCAGCGCGCTGCGGCCGGCGCACCGCGCTGATCCGATGGCAGGAGCCAGGAGCCAGGTGCTTCTCCTGGTCTCCCTTGGGGTGCAGGGCCCAAGCACCTGGGCCATCCTCCACTGCACTCACTGGCCACAGCAGAGGGCTGGCCTGGAAGAGGGGCAACCGGGACAGAATCAAGTAAATCTTTTTAAAAAGTCGTGGCAAACTCCAGATAAAATTCATCCTTTTGGGCAATTTTAAGTGTACAGTTCAGTAGCATTACGTAGACTGGCACTGTTGTGCAACCGCGAGCACCAGCCATCTCCAGAATTCCTCACCTTGCAAAACTGAATCTCTGCCCTGTACGCACAAACCCAACCTCTGGCAGCTGCCATTCAACTCGCCCACAGAATCATACAGCACGTGGGCCTTTCTGCTTGGCTCACCTCACTTCATATGACATCCTCATGTGTAAGAGGACACCTCCAAACTAACTAATGTGAAAGCTAAATAATTTCCCATCCTACATGCACACCACCCTGAGGGTACCCCATCACCTGTTGATGGGCACAGGGTGGGAGGGGGCACCGTATCCATGGAAATGCCACATCAATCTGGATCAGGACAGCCGGAACCTGGACCTCACTGGGGCACATACTCCTATAAGGGACAGAAGATTTGCTCCAAGGGTGAGCCAGGTCGCAGTCATAAGTGGAGGCCGGGCAGAGCTGAGGGGAGACACAAGCAGGTTCCAGGGCCCAACACACACACGGGTTCCCAAGCAGGAGGGCACGAGCCCAGCACTTCTTGCCCAAGTCCCGCACCCACGGGCGTGCACGTGGCAGGATGGGTGAGAGCCCTTTCACAGGAAGGAATTGGGACTGACATATTTAGGACTGATGGAGAACATTGACTAGTGCAGAGGAGCCTCCCAGGGAGACCTGAAATCCCTTCAAAGTCTGAGAGCCGGGGCCGACGCCATGGCTCACTTGGTTCATCCTCTGCCTGGGGCGCCAGCGAACCATATGGGCGCCGGGTTCTAGTCCCAGTTGCTCTTCTTCTAGTCTAGCTCTCTGCTGTGGCCCGGGAGTACAGTGGAGGATGGCCCAAGTGCTTGGGCCCTGCACCCGCATGGGAGACCAGGAGGAAGCACCTGGCTCCTGGTTTCAGATCGGCACAGCGCGCTGGCCGTGGCGGCCATTTGTGGGGTGAACAAAAGGAAGGAAGACCTTTCTGTCTGTCTGTGTCTCTCACTGTCTCTAACTCTGTCAAGTAAATAAAACAAATTGAAAAGTCTGAGAGCCAGGCCTCCTTGCAAGGAGTCAGCGGCTTCGGGGGTGTGTGACGCTCTGGTCGGGTGAATCCACAGAACACAGACACCACCCATCCCCCTCCTTCGCGGCGCCCCTCCCCATCCCACACCCTGGCTCCGGTTTGTAAACTCCCTCCTCCAGCGCCTCCCCTCAGTCTTCCTCGGGAGCCCTCCCGGCACCTCAAGTCTCCAAGGTGGCGGCCCATGCCCGCCCCGGGGACCAGGACACCCGCGTGAGGAGAGGGCGGCGGGGGGGGGGTCCCGGAAGCCGAGCCCCGAGGGCGGCGGGGGAAGGGCGGGAGCCAGGTCCACGGTTCCCCGCGAGGGCCCTAACCTAGGGCGGACGTGGGCTGGGGTGTGCGGGGCACCGACACACCTGCCAACGTGCCCGAGTCAGGAACGCACACCTAGTGCGAGACAGCTCGCAGCAACCGCCCTCCGGGGTCGTCGGGAACAGCGCACGCGCCCCCTTCTGAAGCGACCCCCACCCGCACTCCAGCCTCCCGCCTGCACCGACCCGGGCCCGACCGTCCGTGCGCGGGCCGCTCGCTCACCTGGAGCACCAGGACCTGGAGCATCTTCGCCGCGCCTCTGGCCCGCTCGCCCTGGACGACGCGCCCGGCGGCGGGCGTGGCGGGCGTGGCGGGCGTGGCGGGCGTGGCGAGCCGCGCTGCCCCTGCCGTCGCCCCGGGGGCGGCCCCTGCCATCGCGCCGCACGCCTCAGGCCTCTGCGGGGGCCGCGCCCACCAGCTCCACGGGGACTCCAGCTTCCTGCCCTGGACGCGCCCCCGCCTGCAGGCCGGCCGCCACGCCCCCCAGTGCCGCGCCTCGTCTTCCCACCCGACGCCGCCGCCGCGGGCGCGCTCTGGGCTCCTCGTCGGCTCCACCCCGCGCCCCCGGCCTCTCGTAATGGCGCCCGCCCCCGCGCCGGCCTCCAGGCGTCCAGAAGCCACGTGGGCGCCCAACGGCCCCGGACAACGGCCGGCCTTGCGCAGCGCCGCCGTGCGGCGGGGAGGGGCGTGGGGCCCCGCGGTCCTGGCGCGCGGCTCGCTTCCTGGGCCGCGGGGCGCCCGGGGGCTTGGGGACCTGGGCTGGCCTCCCCGCCGGGAGCGCGCGGGGCCTGCTGGGCTGTCCACCCCCAGCGTCCAGCGGGCCGCGCTCCCCAGGTCTCTGTGCTGGGCTTGCTTGTCTTAGCGGAAGTGTGCACGACCCCGTCCTCTGAGTGGGCCGGGGTCTGCAGCTCCTGTGACTGAAGCAGCCACCAGAGTTCTCACTTGGAAGGCTCTGTCCCTGCACCCAGAAGAAGCTCCTGGCTTCTGATTGGCCCAGCTCTGGCCATCTGGGGAGTGAACCAGCTGATGGAAGACCTTTCTCTCTGTCTTTCCACTCAAATAAATAAATAATATTTTTTAAAAAATGAAAGAAACCTCGACACCCCCCCCCAAATGCTGGGCCAGGAAGCTTTTACAGCTGAATTCCTTAATATTTCAATGGGGGGTGGGGGTGGGCACAAGGTTTCTTAAGCTCTATGTGGAAATGTGTTAATTGATTGGGGCAACCAACAAAATAGTAGAAGACCAGATTAGAGAGAGCATGGGAATTGTTAGGTTCTGTGCTTGGGGGAGCAAGATGTTCAGGTAAGCCTCTAGTTTTAAAAAATAAGCTCGACTCTCTCGGTAACTGACTTTCAAGTAAACCTTTAAAAAAATAAAAATGCAAGGAAAAAAAAAAGCTTGATTCTACAAGGCTCCACAGGTGTGTGCTTGACGTCCCCCAGGAGGACCTTGGGAAAGGACAGGTGTGCGCCTGCGAGTCAGGCAGGAAGCTGCTGATGGGGAGCATGGTGTTCACCTGGGGTGGCGAGGAAGCAGGCTACATACCTGGCAGGCCAACACGCCTGTCGACAGGTGAGACGTGGAAGGTCCCAGGCCTGAAAGGAGGTGGAGAACACGGGCAGGCGATGTGCCAGCGCGGTGGCTGGAGCCCCTGCGTGGGGTGTCCGTCTGCACTTGCGTTCAGTTTCCTGCGATGTGCAGGAGAAGCAGCAGGGGAAGGCCCAGGTGCTGGGTTCCTGCCACCCACGTGGGAGATGCAGCTGTATTTCCTGCTTTCAGCCCGACTCGGCCCTGCTACTGTGGGCAGTTGGGGAATGAACCAGTGGATGAAAGATCTCTCTCCCTCTCTCTCCCTGCCTCCCTCCCTCCCTCCCTCCTGCTCTCTCTCTCTCTCTCATTTTGCATTTCAAATATATAAAATTTTTTTAATGAAGAATGCAAGGGACAACCTTTGTCTTTTTTTCTTTGACTAACTCTCATGCTGCAAAAGGTGATCCTGAAACATTGTCACAAACCTGCTTCCAGAAAGTGGAACTATTTGTACATCACAGTGGCCTTACCAAGCCCAGGGTCTTTGGCTCACTTGCAGATAGAAATTGACAAGGGGCCAATATGCAACCCAGAAGGGTTTATGGGGCGCTCATGCTCCAACACACGGACAGCACTGCAGGGTGAGCTTCCGTCAACTTGCTGTCCTATGGGAGCCGAACAGGTGCTTTCATGGGGGTGGGAAGGCGTGCCCGTTCCCCCAGTGCACACGGCACTTCAATCTGGCTCAAACCCCTGGGCACAGGACAGCATTTGGCACCCAGCTAGGTGATCTGCACAGGCACCGCTGATTTGGCTTTCACTGTTTTTGCACACGACACACCACAGCAATGGTGCTCAATACCATCACCCCGGAAAGTTCACATGAGGCCATTTTGGGCATGCTTGAACGTTCAGGAGTCCCTACCAGGGCAGCAGGGGTCACTGCCGGTTAGGATCTGACACTCCTCGCTCCTGATTGGTTTGGAGCTAGAAATGGACACGTGTCCAGTTGTGAGGAGCTTGATATTTTTATAAATGAGTCCTGTTTCTTTCCTGTTGCACTGGGATGGATACTCAAAATGAGGCTGCAGCCACCCAGTCTCTTAAGACTGCAGAGTTTCAGAATCTGTACCTGTAACCTGCTCCCCCCTCCCCCAACTCTGATGCTAATGGGAAGATTTTTTGTTTGTTTTTTAAAAGAAGTTGCACCATTGTTTTGGACATTTGGTGCAGCAGTTAAGACACAGCTTGGTATGCTGGTAGCCCATATCAGAGTGCCTGGATTTGAGTCCTGGCTCCACTTTGAATTCCAGCTTCCTGCTCGCCTACACCCTGGGAGGAAGTAAGTGACAGCCCAAATATTTGGATCCCTGTCACCCACACAGGAGACCCAAATTGAGTTTGGGGCTCCTGGCTTCAGCCTGGCCCAGCCCTGGCTGTTGCAGACATTTGGGGAATGGATCAGTGGCCAGGAGATCTCTGTCTCTCTGCCTTTCAAATAAACAAATGTAAATAAAAATTTTAAACTTTACCACATAAAAAGGTAGAAAGAGAACAAGGTTGTGAAAAAAAGGAAGACAGAGTATGGTGCTGCCATATCATCCCCATTGGGTGTCTGGGCCACTTTGGAGCAGAGTAGCTGGGGTTCAGGCTCTGTGGTCTGTAGGAACCCCCAGAAGAGCCCAGGGAAGAGTTGGCCACGTTAAGTGGAAAAAGAAAGCAATGACTGATTACGATGACTTTGCATTTTGGGTCTGGACTTGCCACTCCTTTCCTGATGCGAAGACACCTAAAGCTTAAGAAACACACTGGGGGCAGGCCCTTGGTGCAGTGGTAAAGCCGCTGCAGCCACGTCCTATATTAGAATACCTGAGTCCAGGTTCCAGCTCCTCCTCCAATCCCAGCTTCCTGCTGATGCCCACCTAGGAGACAGCAGATGATGGCTCGAGTGGCTGGGCCCTGGCCGCTACATGCGAAACCTGAATTGAGCTCCCCGCTCCTGGTCCAGCCCCAGCTATTGCAGACTTAGTCAACAAGCAGATGTAAGATCTCTATGTGTCTGTCTCTGTCTCTCTGCCTTTCAAACAAAACATGAAATGTTTAAAAAATTTAATAAAAATTTAAAAAATGAGGATTCTTTCAGTCATCTACTCACTAGAAATGAATAACAGTTCAAGAGGTATGATCTATTGATTGTGGATCAAACTCTTGAACTCATGTAGCATACTGGATATGTTTGTAAATAAACTCATGAGATAAAAGCTTTAAAAATTTTTCTCAATTCATTTTGGTAAGATAGTTAAATTTCGGCTCTAAAATGTGACAAAGATAACACAAACATTGTAACTTCCCTTAATATTGCAGGTGGTGAAATTCCAAATAAAATGCTGCCAAGTAAAACCCAAGACAAATTAAAAAAAAAAAAAAAGAAGTTGAGCCATGGCCAATAAGGCAGTAGGCTTACTCAGGAATGCAGGAAGGTTTAATAGTGCCCAATCACAAATATTGCCAGTTAAACAGCTCTGCAAGCAACCAAAAGAAGTTACTGGAGCTGCCACGAACATGCTGGCTCTTCCAGGGATCATGGGATGAACAGAAGATATTGGAAAATTTTTAAAGATTGATTGATTGATTTGAAAGGCAGAAGGAGAGACAGAGAGAGAAAGAGAGAGAGAGATCTTCTATTCGCTTGTTCACTCCCCAAATGGTCTGGTCTGGGCCAGGCAGAAGCCAGGAACCAAGAACTTCTTCCAGGTCTCCCACGTGAGTGCAGGGACCCAAGCATTTGGCCATCTTCCACTGCTTTCCCAGGCACATTAGCAGGGATCTGGCTCGGAAGTGGAGCAGCTGAGACTCAGGGCCGTATGGGAGAGATGCCAGCGATGCAGGAGGCGGCTTTACCTGTTAGGCCACGATGCTGGCCCTGCTCATAGGAACTGAAAGGCTCTGCCGTGGTGGGAATGGTCTTTTGAATCTTCAGGGGGCCAGGGTGGAAAGAGTTCTGTTCTCTCCAGTGAGTTACTCCTTCAGTAAAGCCCATGATAATGAGACGGTTGACACCGGCAGTGATTACAGTTGAAGCTGGAACTCTGCACTGCCTAGTAAACTTCAGCATACACTTGACTGTTTCTATAAACACTGCCATTGACTTCTGTAAACAAGAGTTCATAATAATTCACTCAAATTGCCCAGCGCCGCAGCTCACTAGGCTAATCCTCCGCCTGTGGCACTGGCACACCAGGTTGTAGTCCTGGTTGGGACGCCGGATTCTGTCCTGGTTGCTCCTCTTCCAGTCCAGCTCTCTGCTGTGGCCCGGGAGGGCAGTGGAGGATGGCGCAGGTCCTTGGGCCCTGTACCCGCATGGGAGACCAGGAGGAAGCACTTGGCTCCTGGCTTCGGATTGGCGCAGCGCACTGGCCGCAACACACCGGCCTTAGCGGCCACTTGGGAGGGTGAACCAACAGAAAAAGGAAGACCTTTCTCTCTGTCTCTCTCTCTCACTCACTGTCTAACTCTGCCTGTCAAAAAATAAAAATTCACTCAAATTATCTTATAATGTGATGTTGGCATAATGTGACCATGCAACTTTCCAATATAAGTTTACTAAGAAAACGTTTTACCTTCTCCTTTAAAGAACTTTATATTTTGGGCCAGTATTATGGCGCTGCAGGTAAAGCTACTGCCTGTGACGCCAACATCCACTATGGGCAACGCTGGTTCGAGTCCAGGCTGCTCTACTTCTGCCCCAGCTCCCTTACTGATGCCTCTGGGAAAGCAGAGGAAGATGATCCAAGTGACTGGGCCACTGCCATCCATGTGGGAAAGCTGGATGGAGGCCCAGGCTCCGGGCTTTGGCCAGCCCTGGCTCTTGCTGCCATTTAGGAAATGAAGGAGCAGATGCAAGATCTCTCCCTCCCTCTCTGTCTGTAACTCTGCCTTTCAAATACATAAAGAAAATCTTTTTTCAAAAATAAGAACTTAATAATAAACACTGACTATATCTATATTCAGATTTACAAAGATAAATTATCTATTGAGTTGAATCCTATTCATACTCATTTTAAAATTTTTAACTGACATATGTGTACTTATTTATGGGGTACAGTATTATAATTTGATACAGGTAATGATCAGGCTAATTCATATTTCTCTCTTCTTAAATATCAGTTCTCTGTATTAAGGACTTCAAATTGGGCCGTCCTCTCCTGCTCGTCCAGGCATCCCAGCAGGGAGCAAAATGGGAAGCAGAGCAGAACTGCTCTAGTTTCCTCATGTATCTGTCCCATTGAGAGGGATGGGACATCGCAGCTACGGAATCAACCAGAGGTGGACACCTGGAGCCTGCCCAGGGCCTTCCTCCAACACTCCGGTCGCCTTTAAGAGCCTCCCTCTGTTAGAGTGAGCCTTGCTCATGGTCCCCCCAGTATACACTTGTCATCCTGATGTTTCTAACAGTTTCTTTATGCAACGCTATTTAC